ATTTTGTGCCCTGTTACTTTACTGAATTCATTTATTAATTCTATTAATTTTTGGTGGATTCTTTAGGGTTTTCTATGTATAATATGTCATCTGCAAATAGTGACAGTTTTATTCCTTCCTTTCCAATTTGGATGCCTTTTGTTTCTTTTTCTTGCCTGATTGCTGTGGCTAGGACTCCCAATAGTATATGACACCTGTCCCAGAATATCCCAAGGAGAAAAGGTGTGTCTTAAAGGTAAATCCTTCAGGAAAGAAAACAAAACATCTCAACAGTGTATGTATGTAATAGACCAAAAATGCTAAGTGGAAGAAACAAAAAGTATTTCTGAAACTCAGTGACTCATAAGTTGGACTGAGTTGCAGTGTTTGCAGCTCCGAGCTGTGTAGGACCACCCTTATCCTTTACTGTACCCCTAACTGTCACTCATCAGGCCAAGAGCATCCTGCCTAAACCCCCACATGGAACCGCACCAGCCGCATTTCCTTTTTTTGTCTTCCTATAAAGTACTTGAAAAGATAGCAGCCCTCTTACTCAGCCTCCAGACCCTGCCTGCAGGGGGTGGGAGTGGGGGTTTCCAGGAGATCTCCTTTAGATGAGTGGGCTCAAGCTTAAAAACGCATCATTTGAACTCACTTCCTTTGAGAGTCCTTGGAGAACGAAAGATCCACATTATGAAAGGAACAAAGCATGGAGGGCACCGAATTCCATGCACTCAATCACCTCNAGTGGCTCAGTTGGTTAAGAGCTCGCTCAAGAGTTTGAGCTCTGAGCAACAGCGGTTCGAGTCAGCCCGAGCTGAGCAGCCTCTGAGCTGCCAACAGGTGGCAGGATGGCTCAGCTAAAAAATAAATAAATAAAAAAAATAAAATAAAATAAAAGATACTTGGAGATCTTTTTATTTGGACCACAGAACATAATCCAGTTTATCTCCTTAAATAAGTCCCTATGTTACTTCACTTAATTTTTGCTTTTAAATGAGAGAATATGAAATGTCAACTTCAAGGGGATTCTGTCCTAAAACCAGGAAGGAGACTGACTTTCCTGGAGATGGTAATTATTTCTGTGGATCTTGGGAATTTTGTGTATGTGTGCATGCATCCTGTGTCCAGTTTTAGAATCAACGATATATTAGTTCCATGAAAAGAATTTGGAATAGTGAGTATGACACTGGAGTATTCTGCTCTTGACATGTTTACCTAAACTCCTCTGAGAGCCCTCTAGGCTAAGTCCTTTTAGGAGGAATAGCTAAGCAGCTAAGTCCTTTTTGGACAATTTTAGAGAATATTCCATAAGAACTGAAAAGGAAGCAAAAAAACCCTTTCATTTAAGATAATGGAAAGTTGAGTAACCTGAACCTACTCTCTCATAAAGAAAAATAACACACACACCCCAAAAAAATTGGGACTTAAAAGAAAAAAGATCTGTTTGAATATATTAGAGACCTAACAAGGTAGTAAAGAATCCCCAGGCCAAGATTTGGGAGAAGACTAAATTTCAAGGTGCTGAGTGCAGCATTTAAGGCTACTTATATCCTAGAAGCATTTGATGATTCCAGAAAAAAAGTGCCCAAGAATGTAAGTAGTACTTTTGACAACCATGTGAGGTTAGGGGGACAAAAGTTGGAAACCAGGGCTTGCCACATTAAATTCCCTATGTCTTATTTGGGTTGGAGTCAAAAAGGGTTGAATCCTAAAAGTGAGAGTTCAACCATAAATAAATTAGAAACTGTATAACTGTAGTCCAGGTTTAAGTCAACTCGGTGACCCAGAAAATTCTGTCTTAAACATTTATTCAGATCATTCTACTCTGCTAAGGGTTCTAGGTCCCTGACTATAAACAAAGTAAACAAACATCCTCAGAAGAAGAATATAATATCATTTGATGTTTCAATTTAAAAAAAAGCCAACAAAAAAACCTCTTGAATGCACTGTCTTGAATGAACTGTGTGGCACACTATCAAATATGCCCATAAGGAAAGAACCCAACATAAACAGGAGTCAAAGGAACCAGAAGAAAACAATAGATAATAGTGAGCAGACTCACACAGGCTCCAAATGGTAGAATTATCCAACAGACTTTAAAATAACTATACTTAATATGTTCAAGAAGATGACAAATAAAATTGAAAACTTCAGAACTGGAAACTATAAAAAATGATATGAAGATTAGAAAAAGAACCAAATG